TAGTATGAGGTTGCATAATATGAAATTTCCCGCCGCTTGGGTTTAGGTGTAATACAAATTCATCATATATAACGATTTTTTAATTTGATTAAACATAAACAAAAAAATAATTATAGTTTTATAACGAAAAGGTAACTAGGTAGACTGTTAGGAAGCTAACTTTAGGTACTTTTAGATGACTAGAGGTTGAGGAGAAAACAGGGGAAAAATTAAGTCTTTAAGTTTTCTTCACTTTTTCTTCATATTGACCACTTTTTGCTGTATCACTACAGACAAATTATTTATTTGAAAAAATAGATTATAGCAGTTGTGGTTACAGTATTTTATTCTTACAATAACAATTATAATGAACAAATAAGTCGCTTAGACCCGTTTATAAATTATCTAGCAATTGAAGTGTCCCACGTAGATTAATCGCTGCTGCAGATGGTGGACGTTTATAAAATGTAATTCACTTTTCACACCAACTTGGAATACGAACTTGCAATATATGAATAGCTCTGCAGTGATCATTTCTTAGAAACTGATTTATAATTTATAATAGTTTTATAAAAGTTATTTTTTACCAAAAAGAAGAAAAATTTGATAATTTCAACAAGAAGTTGTGAAAATATTTCTTATAAGACCAAAAATGAAAGCTGTTTGCGGTTAGACGGTTTTCGAAACAGTAAGTAAAAAAAAAAACAACTTTTCAACTTTCGTATCTGTTTCACTTTTAGGTGTTCGCCTTAAAGGTAGTTTTAACTATGTTGAGGTGTCAACACCTTGAAGGCACTCTGCTGTAACTTTCGTTTATAAATCAAAGCTCAATCTTACCATTTGTAATTACAGGCTAAACAATGCTACGTGTACTAACTGAAGTATCATGAAGGCTGAGACATTTTTATTGGGTAGTAGAACTTTTGAACAAAACGGTGTCTTTTGAAATGCTAGTTCGGTTTTTTCAAAAACCATCTCATCTTAATGTGGCTGTTGAGCTATTTCTATCGGTAGATTAAAGTAATCAACGAAGGGGAAAAGGTTTAGTTTGTTCTTTTCAATCTTCCTGAAGTATTCCAGGAACTGTCAAATAAAAACTTAAAAACTTCTTTATGTAACTTTAAACTCCGTGTTGAAATAGGTTTATAGCTTCAAACAGTACGAACAGTAAAAGTAGCTATTATAAAGAGTAAATACAACGTTAGGCTTTTTCTGTTTGAAGTCCCGCGAGTTGACAATGTCTGTAAGATCGTATTGTTTTATCTACACTTTCACTTTTTATAGGATTGTGAGACATACAAGGTGCATTTTTATGCTGGTGATTTTGAAATGCTTTTAACGAAAGGAGTAAAATTGCTTAACAATGCTTAAAAGCGGTCTAAATAAGGTTGCTTTTCAAATTTTTAAAACAAAGCTTTATTTTAATTGCTGAAAATTTGGTATGCTCGATCTATATGAACATGGTTATTCGTCTCGTATTTTTAGGCAATCATTTCTTTGCTTATAATAGCCGTATTAAAGATCTGAAGGTTATTAGTAAAAGAAGAATGTCTACAAACACGGAAAGTAGGGCAATTTTTAGTAAATCGTAAGACTGCTTGATATTATTTTTTGGATATGTAACGAGAAATTCCTAACGCTTGTTAATTGGAATTAAAAGAGATATGGAGAAAACAAGGTTGCTAGGGATAATATTTTTAGCACATGGGACAATACTTGAATTTTTTTAGAGCCGCAGAACGTCACATGTCTAATTTATAATTCCCTCACTTTTACTTAATAAAATCTGGGCATTTAAAGTACAGCTGGTAAAGCAAAACTAGCACGTAAGATGCTGCTTGGTTAACTTTTAATTAAAATTTGTGGTAGCCATAAGCATTTGCTGAAAGAGACAAACAATTACTGAAGCTGAGACAGAGGAAGAAAAAAGTGATAATTTACAGCTCTCAGTAAACAGTTTTGTCTGCGAATTATTTTTAAAGTCTTCTATTTATCAAAAAAAATGTAGACTGTCGAAACAGCAGTATTTAATGTTTTCCACAGAATTTATATTATTTCAATTATTATGATTAAAAATCGACCAGTAATAATTGCTGCGGAATGAATTCAACAAATGAGGAGTTGAACTTTCTAGGCTGAACTGTGAGATTACTTAATTTATATTCAATTTAATTACTTCCTGTTCTTGATAAAACAAACTTTTACCGTTTCTTTTGCTTCAGAGTTTATTAGATAAGAGTCAGTAGATCAAACGTCTCTGAATGAATTTTACAAGTTCAGTTTAAACTCGAATACTCAAGCTCGTATGTTTACCATTATGTTGTTTTTGTAAACTTAGCCAACTAAACAAAAAGGTGTTCTTGTGTCAATGAGTCACTCCAAAAAGTTGGTTCAAAAGAGTAAAAATAAAATTTTATTGAAAGACGAGGGACGTGGTCGGTGATTTAACAATGTTTAAATTGCAGTTACTGTTGTAATGAAGGAAAATCGAAAAGGTGATGCAACTTTTAGCGAGAAGAACAAGAGCTATTGCTGTACATTTGCAGTTTTTATAGTGCCCAAGGAATTTTCACCGTAGGTACGAACTAGAGGCAATATACATAGACCAGAATTTTTCAATTTTGTTGCTTAAAGAAACTTGCTTGCAGATGATGGTTCTTTATGATTCTTTCTTTCTTCTGTTTTATATTTGCGCTTTACAGCTATTTGTGCTTCAGTCTCCTCCGGTTGCAATTTTAAATTTTTAATTACAAAAATTCTAGGTAGCTCAATAGATTAAAAAATACACGATGTGTTGAGTTTTGTACAACCGATTGGTTATTTGTAAGTTTATTTGCTGTAACAGTTTCATCTATGATATTAATTCATAATTTATTTTAACTCAGTAAGAAGCACAAAATAAGGTGCTGCAGTTTGTAGTTCTTATTATCATTATAATTTTCCTAGTCTGTGAATCGTTTCTAAACAACGACTGTATTAATAATTCTTATGTCAAACGCCTTTTCACTCTCTAAGATGTTAAAAGTGGCAAAAATTTAGGCTGAGTTCTTAAAAAACTAAAAGTGACAGCTTATTTTAGATTTAATTTGGCTCTAAAATTTCTGTTTATCAGCGGTTTTGTATTTCTTTTTTTAGTGAGAAAGTCTCTTTTGGTGAGAACTTTGGTTATGCCCGACAAGGTCGCAGTTGTCACGCTCATAAAACCAAAATTTTTTCCTAGTTAAAGCGCTGATTCGTACAAGTTTATTGCGAAATTAGAAGTAAAAGTAATTTAGCTAATTACGGTGAACAGTACATTGACCTTCTTATGCTGACATCGTTTTCAGGAAGAAACCACAGTTTGCGTTTGGTGTTCTGAAGTTTTGATGGCTAACCGAAACTTGCTTGCATTGTTCGAGCAAGTTATTGCTGAAAGGTCGCAGTTCTTTCCTCAAAACAGAGTGCTTTGTCGTTCAGTCTCAGTCGCTACAAACTCACTTTGGTCAAACACACCAAAGCTGCTGAAACCGAAATTTTGGTATTCTTACTCACGTAGTGTTGAACCTTCTCATTTCGGTTCGTTGTCGTTCTCAGGAAATAAATCCTGGTTTTCTGAAGCAGCATCATCATGCAGGTTGGAGAAACTGAGAAAAAAGGGATGGAATAAGATTTCATTGCAGGTACCTAGCACTTTTTAAAAAGATTTGTAGCAGTAATTATGTCGAATGGTGTTGCGCCGAAAAATAATTATGGTAGCAGACGGTTTTTCGTTTCTTAATGGTATGATAAACACATTAAAGTTATCACCTCTTCAAAATCACTGAAAAATTCAAAAGTGGTATCCTAATTTTTGCCCATGAGAGCTGTTCGCGCATCAGGTAGAAAAAGGAAGGTTGGAGTTGCTGAGTAGACGAGTACTGATTTCCCCTGGACAGCTAGTCAAAAGGAGTACGCTTAAGGACTTGTAGTAACTAAACCTTTTATTTTTTATTTTATTTTTTGGAAAATGTTTTCTAGGGTAGCGTTTTGGACTATGCTACTGACTAGGTCACGCAGTACAATAGCGAGCAGTTGTTGAATGTTGTAGATAAACTAAGAGATTTTCTGTTCTGGAGTACACAGTTTACTTTTTCTTATTAGAGGATTAATGGACATATTCTCTCTGTGAATGCTGATGCTACTCGTAAGGATTCTTTGTTTCTGCTGAAACAAAAAGTGCCAAAGTCTGTAGGGTGCATTAAGAAAAAATAAACAACAAAGTCACTTTAAAAAAAATTTTGTTATTTACTAAGACGATGGCTTTTCCTGAACGTCTTCAAAAATAGCACTGCGATTGCGAGAAGTTACAAAGTCCTATTATGTTCCTTGAGTTCTTCATCTTTAACTTTGGCAGAAATTCGCTTTTTTAACGCAACAGGGTTAAGCTTACTCTAAAAGTTTCTGACTTTTCAAATGACTTTAATGATTTATAGAAAAACCCGATGAAATCACAATTACATGGCTAAGAGAGCTGCTTCTCTGAAGGATAGGGCCAACATTATTATAGTAATTCACAGTTTATTGAATATTTGGTGCCGAAGAGAGCTCTAAAGCTCTAAGACGACAAAGTTTTCAAGAATGTATAGGGAAAGATCTGATAACGTATATGCTGACCTCTATTCTTGGTTGAGACACTCACTGTTGTCTTCCCTCGTTTTCCCATACGACCTTTTAATAATTTTTTGGCACAATAGTTACTACATTACATTGGCTCAGAATATGGCAGTTATTCTTTGCAATTAAATTAGTCTTTTTTAAAGGCATACTCCACTGAAAAAAAGATGGTGATTCGAGGACCAACTCTGAAATTACCCACAGGTGCAGAAATGCCTGCTGTCGGCCTTGGGACTTGGTTGGTAGGTGCAATTTAAACATGGAATATTTTACAACGTTCAGCTTCAAAATCGACGCCTAAAAGCTACCATTAAATTTACTTTTTCTAGTCAAAACCAAACGAAGTTGGAAATGCTGTTAGACTCGCTTTGAATTGCGGATATCGTCTTATTGATACAGCGGAATTTTACGACAATGAAAAAGAAATTGGAGATGTGCTTCGCGAATATACTGATTCTGGCAAACTAGAACGCAAAGATGTCTTTATTACTACAAAAGTAAAATTTTTAATAATGAGTGTGGTTCTTCATACAAAGAAGAAACAGTAGAGTTCTTTTTACAAACTTGTACTGCGTCTAGTAAATTAATGTCTTTCAAAGTGCGTGGAGACTGAGACAAGTTATTCTATCCTTTTCATAATTTTTAGTGTATTAGAATTCATGAAAAAAATTACATACATTAGAGCTAACCACCATTACGCCAAGAATTGCAGACGTTTATTACTTTGTAAAGAGTTTTACTTTTAGGAAAATATTATTTACCAGTGTACCAATCACATCTTTTCTAAATCATTTTCTAAACTCGCTGACAATTACAGTGCTTCTGTACCCATTTCCAACCAGAGAAAATGAAGGCTGCAGCTAAAGAATCTTTGAAGAAACTACAGCTCAGTTACGTTGACCTTTACCTCGCACACGCGCCTGCTGCTCTAAATGTATGTCAGTAACATGCAAACTCATTTCTAACATTTCTGCCAAATTTTTTTAGACCTTTGCTCAAGATAATTTTTAGGAAGACAAAACAATACCTGAGCATCCAGTCACAGTCGAGCAAATTTGGCAGGTAAGCACTGAATCTTCTTCTTATTGGCTTACATGCCTAATTTCTACTAGTTTTACTTACTAAGACTTCTTGCTATTTACTTTATTCTGGTACAAACGACAATTTCACTCTTGAAATGGATTAGAAATCTGCAGGTTTTACTAGTTTATTTTCAGTGGGTGACAGCAACAGATTTTGTAGAAAAGAAGTAGATTAGGTTTGAATCAACCTGCTAAGAAGTCATGATTAGTATGTCGACAATGACGAGCAATTTCTTTGTTTTTCTGTTCTGCTTTATTCCTCTACGTTTTGCTCAATTTTTCTGGTTCATAATGCTCATTAACTTAGTTATTGAATTCACTTGGCTTTGAGTGTCTTTGTTTTCTGGACGTCGTAGATTTTATTCAGCTCTGATTACTTACTTTTGGTCGCAGCTGACCATTACAGTGCTTGAATATCTTTAGAAATTCTTGGCCCTCATTAGCTCTTAGTGAAAAAAAGTAGTAGAGGATAAAACCTCTGCTAAAATCTCTCTACTGTCTTTTGATAATGGAACTCTTAATTACTGGTTACTTGTCCAAAGACGATTACCGATTTCAAGTCCAAATTATATACCTGTTCAAAATTAAAAAGAACTTGAAAACCTACGGAAAGGACAAAGCACTTCAGAGTACCTTATAAAAATTGCAAAAAAAGTCGTGAAGCAAGAAGTGCTTTTAATGGGAAGCAGATGTTTCCTCTTCATTCTTCCCTTCTATTTTGGTCTTTTTTTGGCAACTTCACTTTGGCTAGGCAACCAAATGATGAAATACGTACGAGAAAGCAACCTAATTACTCACCATGAGCATCATCTTTGGTCCACATTATGACAAAGCGGTGCACTTACCAAGGTAGAACAACACTATAAAAAAATATAATGATTTTATAGAACTCGCATTCGCAACGAAATGAAAGAAACAAATTTTTTTTTTACATCTTTAGCGTTTAAGGGACTTGAAAATGTATATGAAAGCGGGTTTGCCAAAGCCATAGGTGTGTCAAATTTCAATATCCAGCAACTCGAGCGCATTTTGAAAGTCGCTAAAGTTCCAATACACAATCTCCAGGTTGGTAACACTTTAAAGTCACTTAACCTCCACCTCAAGTTCTACTCGTACCAATAATTTTGTAAACAAAACAGAAGCATAGTCTCCAGTTACAAAAAAGGTAGTTCTTTAAGGTTGAGTGCTCTCTCTATCTACCTCAGTTCGAATTAGCTGAATTCTGCAAGAAGAACAATATTTCCTTTACTTGCTATTCTCCGCTTGGTTCTCCTGGAAGGTTTACCGCTGCGTATGTTTAAAGATCTGTTCTCCTTTAATTTCGATGGCTTCCAAACCCATTTGCCTAAAAAGTGCTGTTTAGTGATTTTGCGTCCAAGCAAACGCCGACTCCTCTTGAAGATCAGTCAGCGAAAAGATTTGCCGAGAAATATCACAAAACTCCAGCACAAGTCCTTATTCGTTATCTTATTCAAAGAGGATTTTCAGCTATCCCTAAAAGTGTTAACAAGAAGCGTATTGAAGAAAACTGGAACGTAAGCTGCTGCTTAATTATTATTGCGTCGACTTTAACGGCTCGTTTAGTGTTTGGCTAATTTTCAGATATATTTATTGAAGTTAAGCTTGTAACTTATCTTTTTGATTATAGCTGCATGAGACAATTTCGAGGAGAGTTCTCCCAATGAACTTAGAGGGCGAAGAAATTTATAACGGTTTCTTTAATCATAGTTTATGCCTAAGCCTGCTCTTTAGTAGGGGTTGCTCAGCTCACATGTGGTTGACAAGACTGTTTATTATGGTCTACACATCATGTTCTAATATTTCTAGAACTTTCAGGTCTTCGACTTCCAATTAAGTGATACCGAAATGGAGGAACTCAATAACCTGAAAAAGAATTATCGGGTGTGTATATGGTCCCTGTAAGTTTTCTTTTCATATAAGCCAATTCTACTTAAACGAGAAAAGTTTTTGCATTTATCGTTTTTTGGGTACTTTCTTAATAGGTGATTTATTCTTTAGCAACCAGTAAAGTAGTCCCTCACCCCTGTGCCTCCTCACAAGGAAAAGCTATCTTTCTTCCATCAGAAATAGGTCCTTCACGATGTAAGAAAATCGTCCATCCCCCTATTCTTTGAAATTTTTCTTTAAAAAGCTGGGAGCAGCAAATTAGCTTGAAGTTTAAGGTAAGGTTATCGAATAAAATTATCAACGGCACTCAGAAATGTAGTTCTCAGTGTGCGCTCAATGAGAAGTTCGAAGAGAGTCGTTTATAGCTTTTCTTGAAAAGTATTTCGCAAGTTTACAGCAATTGCACTTGAGGCTTCTCACTTTTTTTTTTCATATGTCTAATGCAGCTACATTCGCATTCTGAAAAATCCGTGTATTTCTTTATTAATGCCTTTCAAAGTCTCAATTCTAATGTGTACGTTTACCACGTGCTCATTCTTCTACAAGAATTTATTTCTCGTGCTAGTGTAATTCAGCAGGGCATTTTATTTAAGTATAAATCTTTTGAGTAAAAGTTGGGTAGAATTTATGTAAATGTTTGCAAATTTCAATTAAGCCTAAGCCTAACTTAATAAAGTGGAGTCAAAAACTCTATAGGCGCCGTCATTTCTAATTTCCATTTCGTGGCAG